TCAGAAAAACACTGAGAGACCAGAGGAAAATCTACATGAAAATTCTCTAAAAAAAAATGGCAAAATATCAGAGAGAAATTTATATGAAATTCGCCAGAAAAATGCCAAAGAACTAGAAAGAAATTCACAAAAAAATAGTTGGTGAACTTCTTTGTAAACCTTCCTCTGGTTTCACCAAAAATGCTGAAAGACTCAGGAAAATCCACAAGAAAGTTCACCAACTAAATGCCGACAAGACAAGAGGAATGACAAGAGGCAAGTCTGCAAAAAAGTTCTCTAAAAATATCAAAAGACAGGAGGGAAGTTTACAAGAAAATGCTTCCAAAATGTCAAAGACAGGAGGAAAATCCACAAGAAAGTTCTTCAAAAACACTGGAAAGTTCTCTGACAAATGAAAGATCCACAAGAAAAAAAGTTCACCAACCAATTCCAAAAGATTAGTAAAAGTCTACAAGGCTTACTAGAAAAGGTCAAAAGTTCAGAAGTTCACTTACTAATAAATGCTAAAAGACAAGAAGAAAGTCTGCAAGAAGTTCTCCAAAAATGTCGAAAGACAGGAGGAAAGTCTACAAGACAGTTCTTCAAAACTACCAAATACAAGAAAATCTACAAGAAAGTTCTCAACAAACGAAAGATCTACAAGAAAAAAAGTTCACTAACCAATTCTGAAAGATTAGTAAAAGTCTACAAGGCTTACTAGAAAAGGTTAAAAGATCAGAAGTTTACTTACTAATAAACGCCAAAAGACAAGAGGAAAGTCTGCAAGAAGTTCTTCAAAAATGTTGAAAAACAGGAGGAAAGTCCACAAGACAGTTTTTCAAAACCACCAAAAACAAGAAAATCCACAAGAAAATTCTCCAACGAACAAAAGATCTATAAGAAAGTTTACCAAACAATTCTGAAATATTAGTAAAAGTTTACAAGATTTACTAGAAAAGGTAGAAAGATAAGAAAGTCCACTTACTAATAAATGCCAAAAGACAAGAGGAAAGTTTGCAAGAAAGTTCTCCAAAAATGTCAAAAGACAAGAGGGAAGTCCACAAGAAAGTTCTCCAAAAACATCGAAAGACAGGAAGAAAGTCCACAAGAAAGTTCTTAAAAATACTGAGAAAGTTCTCCAACAAATCGTCGAAAAATGCATGACAGCCAATTCTGAAAGATTAGTAAAGTCTACAAGGTTTACTGAAATATCGATATTATGTAGTTTTGCAATAATAAATAAAATTTAGTAAACTTTAGCATTATAAAAAAAAGTTATTACATAAAAATTTTAAAGTATGTTTATTGATAATCTAGATGATCTTTATTTCTATAGTATTCTAGTCATTCTAGAAGTCTTATATTTCTATTTTTAGATTTTGTCGTTTTTCAATTTTTTTTTACTTTTTTGCAATTTACAGATCTTTTTATTATATAATTTGGTCTTGTGATTTAGTAAATCTTTTTGTCAAATATATACATATTAGAAAATCAAAAAAACTCAATTTTTTTAAAAAAGTAAAAAAGGGCTATTTTAATTGATAATGCCCTATATAAGGAAGCAACAAAGACAACTAGAAAGATTATTTCAGAGATCTACAGTATATTTTGAGAAAAATCTAAGCTGTAAACAATTAAATAGTAGTATAGTAGATGCAATGACTACAGAATTTGAGATAGATATTGTTTGGAAGAAGATAGCTGCAGGAATAATACATGCTGCTAATAAGAATATTCCTAGAAAAAAGGCTTCTAAAATAATTAACGCAAGAAGAGAAAGTAAGTTAAAGAAATCTTTGATTTACAAGGATATAATCAAGATTAGCAAACTGGTAAAAAGCCTAAAAAAAAAAATTAGCTATAAAGTTGATATAGATGGCAGAGATAAGATCAATGTGTTAATTGAAGAAATTAATTTTAAATATAGAACCAAGATCTCTTTAACAATGTCATATATAGATGGAAGTTGGCATGAAGATCTAATAGGGTGGTAGAAACTACTAAGAGTGAGATGGATACAAGAAAGAGAAAAGGCCAAGAGAGAAACAATTGAAAAGCATATCAACAAACATTGTAAAAAAATAATAAGAAAGCAAGAAAAAATATTAGCAAGCTTGCTAAAGAGGCCTTTTAAGAAAATACAAATAGAACGAGTTCTAAAAGAAAAAGATAGTAGCTTTACACTAATTAATGACTCAGACAGTGTCAATAAGGCAACAAAAGAACATTTTCAAAACTAGTTTAGAAAATGCCAAGTGCAACTTGACTAGATAACAAATAAGTAAAAAGAAGTTTATAAGCCAATTAGCAGAATCAATAAAGAATGGTTTAAGTACTTAAATGACCTGATCAAAGAAGAAGAATAGCAAGAGATGTTTACAGGACTAAAAACAAAAATAGCTCTGGGTATATCAGGAATAAGCTACACACTAATTAAAAAAGCTGAAAAGTATCACAAAGTATCTTTAGAAAATTTGCAGAAAAGTGCATATGTAAAAGAGTAATTCTAATTAAGTGAAAGCTTACACAAATTTACCTAATTCTAAAAGGCCTGGATTGGAATTTCTAGCTAGACAATATAAAACCAATTGCACTATTAGAAATCTTTAGAAAGTATATAACAAAAATTTTTAACAAGTGTCTAACAGAGATCTTGGCAGAGCATAGTATCTTAAAAGAGCCAAATTATGCAGGGCTCCTAGCTGCTCAACTAAAGAACTGGTACAGATCATTAATGCAGTCATGGAGGATGCAAAGAAAAAAAAAAAAGAGTTGTGGGTAGTATTTTAAGATATGCAAAAAGCATATGACTCTTATTAGTAGAAATGTTAATGCTAGCTCTCAAGAGAATCAAGCTTCCCTTTACAAGCATCAAATCAATACATAGCCTTTTTAGCAAATAACAAATGAAAATAATAATACAAGATGGCTTTATATTACTATTTAAGACTGATAATGACATCGATTAAGGAGAAGTGATTTTTCTAATTATTTGGCAAATTTTCTATGATCTACTTCTATGTCGAATTTAGAATGACAAGTCTTTTGGTTATGGAGTTAAAACATGTATCCCAGAAGATATAACAACAGCAACAGAGACAAAAGTCTATATAAAGCAAGTAGCAATAGCCTATACAGATGATACAACATAACTAGCTAATAGCAAAGCAGAGATAAAAAAATTGCTTAAAGTCACAAATGAATTCTATATGATTAACATATACAGATAAATAGCAAAAAATATAATTTGGTAGCAATAAACTGTAAGGTCAAAGACCATGAGGCTAAGAAGGTGCAATTTAATCAAGATGAAATTAGGGCCATAAAAGATATTGCCATAGTAAGAATGCTTGGTATTTGATTAAGTGAGAAGTTGAAAAAATCTCTAGTAAGAGACAAAGCCAAGGAAATTGTCAGACAAATGATCTTAATATTACAGTGGAAAAAGCTAACAATAGGCCAATTAGCATACATAAACAATATAGTTTTACTTAGTTACATCTTGCAAGTTAATAAACTTAGTACACAGTCAGTTGAAAAGATCTATCAACAATTTATAAGGCTAGTTAAAAGCAAATTAGAATTAGCTTGAACAGTTGAAAATAATATAATTTTGTATAAAGATTTGTGAGATTGCAAATCACTAGAACAAGAAATTATAACTAAGCAACTAACTGCCTTACAAAACAGATTAAACAGTACACGAGTCAAAGAGGTAATAATACAAATCTGAGTTAAAAAGAGTTTTTTAGGCGCAGGTTTAACTAGTACAATGTGGCAGATAGAAGATAACAAACAGCTAAGCAAATTGTGAAAAAATAATTTGACATGCACAGTATTATTAAGAGCAAAAAGAATAGGTTTGTCAATAGGTAACTTGAACTCTCTGTAGAATATAAAGGGTACAGGCACTCTTTTGAGCAAGCTGCTATTAAAAGAAAATATAAGTAGACTTACGAGAGAGTTAAAAAAACTAATAATATTTTATATATCACAAATTATTAATTATACTAAGAATTGACTACTAACATGGCAGCAAATTAAGTTTATAAGAGAAAAGTCTAGCTGGGATAAAAAGGCAAAATGGTTTGAAAAAATAGAGCAATCTCTGCTACAAGACCATCTTTCAAGACAGGTAAAAGCCAAGTATAGTGAAAGCAATCAAAATGAAAGAACAATTGTCTATCTAGAAAAAACAATCTCCAAAGACAAAAGAGTCAAAGAATAGATGCTGT